TTGTTTTTTTAATTACTTGGAGCATTTGTTCACCAAATTTTGCTTATTCTCACATATATGAAAACCTAGAAATGACTATCTTATTTCTATTTGTTTAGATGTTCCGTCATCGGAGATCACTAGCAGTATCAAAAAATAATACAAATTTGATATCAACTTTTTATTTGTTTCTTGAGTGCTGCCACCAATGAAAGAGACTAATGGTGCAGAATGGATGTCCGGTACCGGTATTTTTTCCAGAACTGCAATGCCTAACAGATCTATTATCTCGTTTTGAATCTGTTGGGCTTTGATTTCCTGTCAAATTTGAATATTCATATTATTATTATAGCTTTTATATAGCGCTACTTTCATGCTTATAGCATGCTCAGAGCGCTTTTAGTCCAATCTCAATTGTGGACCTGTGTAGGGGAGGGGGTATCTAGGAGTTGGTAAACCGCTCAGTAAACATAACTCTGCCCGAGTTGGGTGTCGAACCTCGTGCCCCCTTTTAGACAGCCAAGACAAACCAAGTTCAAGCCTCTCGACCACGCTATTCATAGGAATTTTCTGAGGTTTTTGTATAAATATATGGCTTTAAATTTCTTTAAGAGCAAGCTATGAACCAAGTTTCAACCAAATACTAGGCATTTATAAAGAGAATGACATTATTCCAGGCCATTTAGTTATTTGTCGATCTTCTAGATCTTGTTCTAAACCTGCTCCCCAATTCGGTTTCCTCCTTCATTGCAATAGCACAAGCATGTTCAACTTGATTCCAATGTTAACACTCTGATGTTTCTTTGGCTTGCTAAATATTTATTGTTATTTTTATTTTGTTTCGATTTCAATTACTTTTTATTCTGATAAGCCTATAATTATTACATTAACATTTTGTATACTATACAGAAGACAACGAAACAATGCGATATAGCTCTTCGAGGACACATCGTCTTAATTGACTGTCTTACACTATCTCATAATATAAACTTCATCGGATAAATAGTTGTTGTTTTGTTTTTGTGTCAGAGTAAAATTGGAAAAATGAAAATCAAAGTGTATCAATATAAAAAGTTGATACAACATATTTTAAACACAAACCAAAATAAAAACATTTTAAGCTTTGAAAAAAATTGAATAATTTGCAGCTGTATCGAAATTTTAATTGTGACAATCAGGATTATTCCTGTTACTTAACCAAACTCTCCCCCACCCCACTACTGTACTACATCCCTGTACTACTACCAATAGTTTTATGAACAGGAAAAAAAAGAATGGGACAAAATGGAAACGATTGTCGCCTGAAATGCACGATTAGGGCTAGCCACCATTACAATTTACAAAACCTGATGCAAAGCAAATCCTTACATTAAAGCTTAAAACACTGGTTTTGAAATTAATATTAATTTTGGTACAAGGATCAGGATATTTTGAGGAAGCTTTTTAAATTCTATTTTTTATCAGTTTTTACAAAAGTGAATTTACTTTTTTCACTTTGGTGTCATCCCCAAGTTCTCAACAAGTCAAGAGTCATGGGCCCAAGCACAGTGAGCCCCTAAGAATCGTGCGCCCGGGTTCATTGAACCCCTTCGTGCCATGGATGCTACGCCACTGACTAAATGACGTTTCAGGTATACGTAATTCTGTTAGTTGTTAGTGTCATCAAGAAGACTATTTCTTCTCATAACAGTCCCAAGCGAGAGATTTGGTGCTAAATTATCGCTTTTGTGTGGGACACGATCGACCGATAAATACGAATCCATTCACGCTTTAAGTCACTACTTTGAGAGGATCTTTGACTGTTTGGCGGATCTTAAAATAACGGCTACATAAAACCTGACAAACTGCACACGTGTACCAAGTGCCTGTACCTCACGTGTTTTTTATTTGTCTTTTCATTATCGTCAATTATTCATCTGTTCTTGAACCAGTTTCCCTGATGATGCATTATGTCCAACATATAGGCCGCTGAACAGCACATCAGCAATCTCGTTGACATAACCAACACTTGGCCATGCTGAGGAACACTTCAGGGATAACATGCCAAGAAAGGCGAAACTGCTGGCAGACAAATTTGGTATTGAGTTGGTGCTGCCTAGAATTTGCAGTCGAATTTTTTTACAAAACAATCGGCTTTACATTCGTATCTAGACTCGTTAGTTGTTTTTTGGTTTAGTAACGTCTAGCAATACTAATGCTCAGTTCAACCTGGTTTGTCTGCATCCTAAAACGGTTTAAGAACTGGAACGGAAGAAGACTCTCATCACCAGAGTCCATCGCGACTAGAAGCATTATTTAAGTTAATGGCAGTTTTAGCAGCTACAGTTTTTTGTTTGATTGACCAAAGGGAGGGACGGACAGCACGGATAAACTTAACGTGTGGAGTAAACAGTTTGTTCGGATGTTGAGTATTTTGTAGTTCATGAAACAATAGATGTATATACCGGTATATTGTCTTCCGAGACAGGAGGAGCCATATATGTATGTATGTATGTATGGCTCCTTCTGTCTCGGAAGACAGATCCGAACATTCGCTACAATATATAGATATTTGAATAACTTTTTTCAGGGCATGGATCGTATATATATATATCGTATATGGATAATAAGGGGGGGGGGGGCCTCCTTTTTTTTCTTTAATATTCTCCGTAACAAGAAAGTTTAAGCTACGTCTTTGGCCATTGTTGGCAACTTGCTCCCCCTCCCCTCTGAAAAATATCCTGCGGGCGCCCATGCATTTAATTATTAATTAAAGATTAATTAAATAGATCATGGGTCAATTAGGATTTTATAGTTTAGATTATTATAAACAAGCCGAAATGAAACATTAAAATAACATTACGTGTTACTTGTTTATAAACCCTTTACTAGTGTAATGTCAAATGTAGGCCTAGTTGATTTGACCTTTACTTAATTTCAATAATTTGACTTAGGCTTAAAGTCCTCACTCCTAACACTATAAATTGTGTTGTTTATAGCAAGGTTTAAGGTAAATATATATATATATATAGGCCTATATCTCAGAGGCATAAGTGAGGGGCATGATGCCCTGGGTGCCACCCTCAGCGGGAGCGCCACACGCAGCATATTGTTACGAATCTCACTATCCAGGCTCTCTGCAAACTGCACCATAGACCACCAACTTAAAGAACTTGACAACTCAGGGCTCCAAAGTAACGTAACATTTTAATAGTTGAATAAATAACAGCCAATAGGCCTACTGTACAATTGGCAGCACGTAACACAAGACTGTACAAATATCTCTCAGATAACACCGTGCCGCCGTATCAACTCTTGCACAGGCCTCTCCGTCTCGTTCTTGCACTGACTTCACACACTAGGCTCGTTGTGTCGGACTCGGTCGCAGACCAAGATCAAGACGCCAGTCGTCTCAACTTGACAGTACTCCGCACTGAACCGTCGAAGTGCTCTGTACAGAACCACTGTTGTGAACCTTCTGACGTGAACCGTCCCTGCTGGCCTTCTAGAACCGGACAGAACGTCGCTGGACGTTTCTTACTTCGTCACATGACTACATTCCTCGTGACGCTCCTGAGCTCTGTTCATGACGCCGATACTTCTCGAACCGTCATGTTGACACTCGTCTCGGGTGATCGTCGTAACTCGTCACGGTTGACCGCTCGTCTAGCGCTGGCCTGGGGCGATTTGCGTCGGCTGACTACACACACACCACTACCCCCATCTGTGCCACCACCAGGTTTATAACAATATATTTCAATGTGATGTTTATGGAAAATGGGGGGAGAAGCCCCAATAAAGTAATCTTTCCCCGGGAGAATGTTTTGCTCACTACGCCTCTGATATATACAAGCACTAGTGCTTAATAGAAGTAACAGCAACCAAGAAAATGCTAAATTCAGGTGTCAAATTTTAATGTGTTGTTATAAAGCTTAAAGCAAGAATTTATTTAGCATTTTTAGGTTAAATAAGTATTTTCAGTAAAACAATTTGCATTTAGGTTGAACATATTGAGATCTTGTCTAGATTGAATATTAAATGAAGATAAGGCCTAAGTAGAACTAGATCTTCTGATCCTAGAGTTAAGACACTGCAAGTCATGTACAAGGGCTAAATGTGCATGCAAGTTTTCTTGGCTAAGCTGTACATGTCAGTAAGCTGTAAATCTACTACAGAGAAAGACTCAAAACTTTAAAATGTTTCTTTGGTTCTGCCAGTGTGTTGTTTTCATTAAGTCTGGTAGTAATGCATACTTTAAGTGGATTAAGATCATTTCTTAAGCTGCACACTCAAGTATCACCATCAATATTTTCATTGAGTCTGGTAGTAATGCATACTTCAAGTGGATTAAGATCATTTCTTAAGCTGCACTCTCAAGTAGCACCATCAATGTTGATGGTCTCCAAAGTTTTAAGACAAACAATGTTCTCTGGCTGAGCACATTCTTTCCCTAGCATCCTCCTCTCTGGACCAAGGGCCTACACACAATTTACATTTTCATCATAAAAGACATTGAACAGGGAATTTTTAAAAATAAGTACTCACCAAATATAGATATTAAAAATGTAAACACTGCATGCACTTCTATTAATTAATATTACTAAATTACTTTCTTATTAAGTGATGACAATGGAATAGTTATATTACTCTGTCCATAATGAATCTGTGAACATTTCCTCTATACAAAGGACCTAAGTTGTATGGTTTACATTTTTGTTTTATGAAACAGCAAGTTGATAAAAGTAAAACAAAAAAACAAACAAGAACACATTTGTGGCAAGATTGTTTTACTTTTCCCTGAGTCTTTCATCAAGTTTGACCTCTAGGAATTGAGAAACAGAAAAGTTGCTCATTTGGCGAGTTGAATGGTAGGAAAAGTAGGGTGTGGCGAGAATGGGGAACAACACAGCCTCAGAAAAGAGTCAAGCATAAGACAGACACCAGTGTGGAGTTCACTGACACACACAAGTTCCAGTCATAGATGGTCTTCAGGGTTCAAAGTGGTTCAAGTTGAAATTAACCAACTTTTTGTATAGGACAACAACAAAAAAACAACATTTCAGGCATAATTAATACTATCTTCATTAAAACCATAAGAAAGAACACATTTATAATGTCATCATGGCTATTTTTTTTTTTTTTGGTAAGTTCAAATAGAATTATAACCTCATCAAAAATGTAAAGCTCTATAGAAAAAGAAGCAAAATCATTGTGGAAAACAATATCTTGTTCAGATAATCCTCAGGTGTTTGTTTTAAAGACCAATGCTTGTTTAAAATGAAAACTTCTAAGGATTGCAATAACCACTTGCAGAGAACATTTCTCACGACATCTAGCAAAAATGGCAAGCAGTGCATGAATACCCGGCAGAACTTGCACTGCATAAGTAGTAAATGGCACAAGTCAACTAAATAAAACACACATAAAGACAAGCTTCTTGAAACAGCAAAACATTATCTTTCAACATACATTAGCGAAATGCTTTAAAAAAATATAAACAAAAAAAAAACATGTATATATAAAGTTAAAGAAATATCACAACTCTTTAGGCAATCAATTATTTGAAGGGGAAAAAAATATTAACAAGTAATATTAAGAAAGACTTGTACTCAGTCTGAGTTTTCTTTTCTCATTGCACTATGGGCTCAATGTGAGTTAGGAATGCAATGAATTCTTACAATGGGTAAACAATAATTCTGCAGCTAGAGAATTTCAAGCTTTTCAAATATTCAAGTCATACTTTCATAAAAGTGGTAAAAAAAAAGTATTCAAAAATATTTTCTGGGACACTCAGAAAAAAAGTTTTTGGAACTTGTAGCTCCAAAGAATGTGGTTGATACCAAGAACTTCAGTATTTTATTCATACAAATAATTAATATTCAAAAAGGTAAAAGGGATGTAGGAGGGGGGGGGGGGGGGGGGGACAAAAAATATTAATCCTAGAATTTAAGAAAATGTATAATGTACAACTTACTATTTTTAAACAGAGCTTTCTATACTAATGTAGAAATAATTTAGCCTTAACCCCATTAGTATAAGAACATAATTCTAGACATTATGGTATATAACATAATGTGAACACTGTTAAATAATTATTCTTTTTACAGAAATATCATAAGCCAACTGAAAGCTATTTCAGGAGAGATGGAGCCTCCAGTTGGTCTAATACCTTTTCATACAAGTTCAGAGTTTTCTGCAAGGTTAGACGAAATCCTTTAGACATTGGGAACAGGGGGAACTGGGGAGGTTTACATCTGGCCTCACAGTTTTTACTGATGGACAATGGCTTGGTGTCAGTAGCGCACATTTCTTGATCATTTGTTTCACTGTGAGAGGGTGCCTTATCTTCTGTAGACTCCTGCACACAGATTTGAGATGGTGGCAACACAGACGATGGCAATGCTTCTTTTATGACAGAAGCTTCAACGTTTTCATCACAAACCTGCAAGTTGTTACAATCCCCTATACTGTGTTCCTGACAATGTGTGTTGGCTTTCTTTGTCTCCTGCACAGTTTGTCTGCAAATATCACCAGACATCACACTGTCAGCAGATGCAAGGCAGGAAGTGAGCTGCTCTTGTGGCTGATTGGATTGACCCACTGTGGACTCAGTTAAGAGATTATCAGTTGGGATATTATTACAGTCAGTATCTGTAGTAGCTTTGCATTTCTGGGTTTCACTTTCCTCTGTCCATTTCCTCAAGCGAGCAATCATTCTGAAAGTGACAAATTAAAGTTTCATTAAATTAGTTTATTTTATTTGACAAGTAGTGACTCGGATAGACTTGCAATGTTTCAAATTCCAATTTTTAAAATTGAAAGTGAAAAATGTTATAAATTTATGACCAAAAAAAGCAAAATATATAAAAAGTCCCTTTTAAATGTAACTAAGTTCTGAAAATTATTTAGTACTAGAAACTAAATTCTTATTAAAAAAAAAATGAAAAGTCAATCAGTAACTGATCGTATAATGAATAATTAAATGAAAAAATGACAACTTTTACAACTATACATACTAAAGTAACTTCTAAACTTGATTAATTTTTTGTTCTTCTAGGCCAACCCAATTATTCCCTTGCAACATGACAAAATGATGTCTAGTTAAATGCTTTTAAAATGAAAAACAAGTAAAACACAAATAAAAAACTTTTTGAAAAACAAAACTTATAGTAAGTATATCACTTAGTTTGGATTAGTCACGTAATTAACTTTGTAATAGATCTTGATTAACAATAATAGATCTGTGCGATTAGGATTATTTTTTACCAATTGTTTTTGTTTATCGCAATTTCATTCTTTTAGCGTTCTCAATACACTATGATCCTATCACTTGTCTGGGCCAATTGGAAAGTGGTAGGGGAACAAAGAACGGGGTATCTGGGTGATCGCTTTTTTAAATATATTTTTTTTTTTAAAAAAGGAACGACCTGAATTTAAACTTGTGGGCTTCAGGCTTCTCAGGCCAATGCGGTAAACACTCTGCTAGCAAAGAGTCTAGGAACATGGAAGATTGTATAGTTATCAATTGTTTCTATTTCATGTATGTGTTCACTAAGCCTAATATAAAGGGGACTAATTAAGCTTTTACCACCACTTCAGTCAAGTACTATTTCTTTCCCTTGTTTGAGATGCCAAACAAAATAATTTATTACCAATAGTTGATTAACTTATTTGTTTTTTTTTATATTAATTGTTGTGTCACCAGGTAAAAGAAGTAATTGTGCAAAATTTCAGCTTGGATTGAAGATTGGGTTTAGGAGAAATAATGTGTACAAACTTTTGGCCAGAAAGACAGAGTGAGTTGATGCAAGCTTTGTAAAAAAAAAAAAAAAAAAATATTCATTATTTTTGTTTCACCTCTTATTGGTGCCCTCCTACCAGTTTTAGACCTTGTGAATTCTGATTGGTGAATTGATGTTTTTTTATTCATGTATGTTCATGCCTATAAAAAAAATCATTAGTCCACTGACTTACTTAGGACCATGAGCTTTTAGATAATGATAGATTTCTTGGTTGAAAAAAACTGGTATCTTGGCACACATCTTGATCAGTGACTGGATAGTCTTAATTATTGCCATTTCATTGTACATTCTGCTGTTTTCAAGGCCAACTTGGGTTCCACGCTGTTTTTCATAGCCAGCCTCATTGTAATAGGGCTCTGAGACTAGAATGAGACCTGTAGATAAAACAAATTTATTTTAATCATTTGTTCCATTTTATTTATAAACATGCATTATTTTAGGTCATATCCATACAAAATAAGATACTGCAATAGACTTCTTCAACACCTAACCATGTATGCTGCAAGAAAAATATAATTGACTAGTTTCAAGTTATTAGGTCAGCTCAATGATTGGCCACCTTTACCAACAATTGTAGGAGCCTAGTAGACTAAGTGGAATATGGTTTGGTTAAATCCTCCCACACTGTTCGGCGCATTAGGCAGCAAGTTGTCTCCACAAATATCTGTCACTGGCAATTTTTGAAGCCTCTTCTTACCTGGCTTTCACTGCTCTGAGATCCTCTATAAAAGTTTGGCATTAAGTTATATGAGGATCTCCATAAGTGGAATATGGGACATCTTCAAACTACAATTTTAAAATGCCAACTTTCACACAAATTTGAATTTACATCCACTGTTAGGAAACTTCTTAGTCTAATCCCCATATCAAGCAATTGAACAACTCCTCTCAATAGCTCACTATAAGCAAGAATATAATACAACTGGTACTGCCAAGTCAGAAGAGGATTTCAATATAAAATAAATTCAACATAAATTTAAACTAAATTCTGTATGGAAAGGCTCAAATGCATGAAACAAACAAAAACTGTTACAAATAGTAACCTTGAATAGAAAGCAAAACTTGTAGAAGGTTTGACTTAGATGTCCAGACTTCAGTCCCTTTACCAGTCCATGTACCCAACAAAGACACACACACCTGTTCATGATAGAGTATAAACTTAACACACTAGAATAAATATTGAATTAAAGAAACAACAAATGATTTTATTGATAATAAAGGAAATGGGATGACATTCTTATTTTTTAAATGTCACTTAATTTAAAAAAAAAAAATTCTTTTAGAAGACCAAAAGAAGTCATAGTACCTATTTTGAGCACAATATTGGCAATGGAGAAATAGGATTTTCAATATATAATTCTTTTAGCACAAAACCAATTGCAGCTTTTCCCTACAGGACCAGTATAAAATACATTCATCTTATTTCCATGCAGTAATAAATACTCTTTACATGTTCTTTTTCAATTTCTTCTCAGCCTGTTCTAGCTCGGAGTTCAAACATTATGGCAATATAAAGTCAACTAAAAATGTAAGCACACTGATTTCACATAGCTTAAAAAATTGACAAGATTAGGAGCCACTTTCATTTAAGATGTCACTAAACACCTATACAACTGCTCTGAGGTGGTTGTTGCAAACGTTCTTAGGGATTTAATTGCTGGCAAGAGTTCAAACTTACACATTTTATCTGTCAATCTAATCATGCATGTTAATTAGATATTTAAAACTCTTAAGTCGTTGGTTTTCCTGGCTGATACAGAAAATTGTTCTATCCCAGCACAGTGACTAATAAAAGAAAATGTATAAAATTAATACAAAATGGCAGTCAATAAATGGGAATAAAAAGGTACATTCTTAACACACTGGATACATCCAGAAAAAAAAAATTCTCTCTCCCTTTTGACTCCTTTTATATTCTTTCTCTACACAAAAAGTATTTCCCCCCTTTCAGACCTTGTGATCTAAAGCAAAGATGATATTCATCTGTTTCTGTGGCCCACAGTTAGCAAGGGTATCGTGGCCAGCACAATAACTAACCACCTTTACTATTGTCAAGTACCCATTAAAGTGCCCTAAAGATCCCAAAATTAAAAATCCCAGTCTTCATCAGAATTTTAACCCCGGACCCATCCGTTTGTAAGCCAGTGCTTTATCAGTCAGTCAACGCGACTCCCTTCTCTACACAAGAATCTGGAAACCTCATCGACCACAATAACAACAACAAAAAAACTCATACCACCCATGGCCATTTTCCCACTACAGAAAGATGACTTGTTTTAAACTTACAGCAGCAATCCCAATCCTGAATGGTGATTGAAATAATCTATAGTCAAACATAACACTGCAATGTCCTGCCCAACAACCTTACCTTGCCATCTTCGTACAAATTAGGGTTGAGTCTGTCTGTACAAAATGAATGATAGTAACACAGAGGTGGTGCACTTGGGTAGTCATTGGGTAATATCAGGTCAAACAGAAATACTGCATCTTCATAGGGAGTGCCCTCTGGCCCTAAGATCATGACAGAATACAAATCCTGGAAAAATAAATAATAGCTTAATGCATTTTAAAAGTTTCCCTCTGGGTAAGACAAAAAAGTTCCACTAATTAAATACATATACACATAGCACATCCAAATAATAGTATACTGATGCCAGATCTAGTTTGTAGAGAGTAAATGAAGAAAAAGAGAGTACAAAACAAGCTTTTAGATCTATTGCTTACTTAGATATTTAACTTAATCAAGGAGCTTGCTTTGAACATTTTGAATTGTTTTATTTAGAACAAACTAACTTACTAAACGATTCTCAAAACCTTTGACGAATATACCATCTGGTAATGATGTCTGGAACAGTTTGAGCTGAAAAGAAAGAGAAAAAAGAAAATAATTATGACACAAGGAATACATATGTTTCTGTACCCTTCATTCTTTGTGGCATAGTACAGCTCATCAGTAAAAATGTGGTTAAAAATAAAAGAACGTGTACAATACATTAAACTGGTAATTCTCAATCAAAGACCTGCAGAACACAATGGCCCATGATGCAGTGCTATCCAGCACACAGTGCTACACAGCCCACAGTGCAGGAAATTAGCATGATAAATAATTAGTGA